CATGTTTGTTTCGTTTAGCTTTCATTGAAGAAAAAGTTTAAGTTGATCAATTCACCCCCCCCCCCCTCTTAGTGTAACAGAGATCAGAGAGGAGCATTCAGAAGAAGGAAGGGATCAATCCATGGCAGTGAAGATGTCTTCCTCAACCATGAAGAATTCCACTCCAATCATGCTTGGCTAAACGCTTTGCTAGGGTTGTGATGTAACCCTAACTTAGCACACTGGTTTGATTGTATTTAATTATTGGAGAACAATTTTTATTATGCATGATTATGTAATCTATATGATTTTTAATTGACCTTTTAATAAGAATCGGTTTTAGAGTTTTAATTCAATTACAAATATTTTTCTATTTTGTCTTAGATATTTTAATCTTATAATTGAACACAACTCATTCACTTCTTGTAGTTGTGAATGAGATGATTACACAATGGTATTTCTCTGAATATAATGTTAGAGATTGGATGGATTATGCCTAGAAAAGATAGACCATGCTATACCCTAGAGTAAAGTAGTTAAGTAGATAGTTTATACCAATCGAAGATAGTCCATGCTTAGCTTTAAATTATATTATTTTCTAACTGAATTAATATGCGCTTGTAGCCATGATTAATTCGCTGTGCATGTTATATCATATATCTCCAATAAATTGATGCAATTAACTGGTGGTACGACGTTAGTAGTGAAGTCATACCCCTAGTCCTCTCTCTCTATTTTCTACATCATATTTGATCATCGTTCTTTAGTTTATTTTATTTTTCTACTTAGTTAATTTAGAATTAATCATCACAATTCGATTATCCTACTTTCAAGTTAATTTTGAAATTTAAAAAATCTGTTGACAAACTTAATTTACACAAGTTCCTTGGGTACGACACCCTTACAAGTAATCCCTATCTGCAAAGATTCGTACACTTGCGAGTGGTACATATAAATCTCACAACACATTACAAGCACGCCTAAAATCCCTTGGGACGATCCCTTCTCACCCTAACTATATTTTTAGTTAGAGATAGTAGTGGTATTTATAAATTTAAAAGTTGGCCACACTATTTTGTACAAATTTAGTTGTACATCGACGACCGCACCACAAGTAGAACCATCTCCTCCCAAAGTTCACTACCCATATTCACGATTTGGGTTCTTTCCTATTTTGTCATTGATTTGATCTTGCTAAATTTGGGCTATAGTTTTACTTTTTGTATTATACACACTGTTATGTAGATTTTTTTATGATCCGAGTATAGTGGTGGCATCTGCTGGATATGAACAGGTGGATAAAAAGAGACCCAGAAAATGATGGAGCATATAGAGATACAATTTAATGTGTTCTGTTCAGAGTTACTTTCGTCATTGCACTAAGATTACTGTAATTTTAAGCTAGGAGCTTAGTTCGGTTCTATGAAATTGGAATTGGAATTGGTGGAAAGTAATTCAAACAATTGAACAATTTTTTTTTTTTTTTTTTTTTTTTTTTTTTTTTTTTTTTTTTTTTTTTACAATTTCACCAATTTTAAATGGTCTAATTTCATACAACTGAATAGACATTAAAACAAATTTTTTTTTTTAAATCAAACCAATTCAAGAAACTGAACCAAAGATAAAATTAGTCGCTTTGGATTCGTTTGGTTAGGCACTTAATTTGTTCGATTTGGTCTCAACTACAAGAAAGTTTGATTATTCAATTTTATTTGGATTCAATTTCAAAGATATTGTTGGATTAGTTGAATTGATCATAAGATTCCTCAACAGCTAAAAGATTTCCTAACTAATTTATTCCTTTTGGCGGTTGAAATAAAGGTGTTTGTTTCGAATTTTAATTTTTGGTAAGAAGATACAAGGATACATTCACTCACAATTCTTTATCGTGGAGGGTTTCAACCCTCGTTCTTCTAATAACTAGAATTTTTTTCAAATTTTCAGTAAGGTAGAAATGAGCTCTTCGGTTGAAAATTTCAATCCAATCAAGTGAAATTAATTATTAATAACAAAATAAGTAGTAAATCAATAAATATTTGCTATATATAACAAAATAAATAATGTGTGTATATATATATATATATATATATATATTTTAAGAAGTTGAAAGTAAAAAATTTATATATATATATATATACACGCACATTTTGACGGCGTATTTTTATCATCATTTTGCATTTTTCTCATAAATGGGTAATACGAACAAAGATGAACCAAAAATGACATTTGATAAAAATTATTTAAATTTAATAAATTGTCTCGTAGTAATCTATGTAATAATCAAAATCACGAGAACCAGTTTAACTAACCTAAACCAAACATAAACCAATTGGAAAATCGGAAATCTTCTAGCTCTCTACCTTTTAATTTATGTTGTGGGTCAATGCAAATATTATAAATGGATCTGATCAGTATTATTGGCTATTTTTTTTTATTTTTTATTTCTTAAAATATGTGTATCGATTTCATAATATATATGTAACATTTAAGTCAAAAGTGCAATTAAAAATGTGAAAATATAAATTCAAAGTGGTCTATTATGGTGTTTAAGTCAACAAGGTCTTCGTCGAAGGAGGGATAACCATTTCTTTTTATTTTTTTAATTTAATTTAATTTCTTTTTTTTGGGAAGGTGAACAAGGGACAATTTAGTGGTGACAATTCGTGTTGGTGTATTGTGTTCATGTCGATACGATTAGGACACAGATACGATTAGGGTTAATACGTGATACGATTATTAATCGTGTCTAAAATCTTTGACACGAACACGATACGAATATTATACGTGCGATACGATATAACTTGATAACTCAATAATAGTGAGTTATAGGTATGAGGTAAGGTTTGACTACAAAATTGGGTAAGAAAACGATGTTACTGCTTTTATTTGGCTTTGGCGTTCCTTTATTTTCACACTTTTGTAGGCCAACAATGACTATGATCTATGAATTGCGAAAAGTATATAAAATATTAAGACTTAAACATATTAGTACTTTCTGATAATTACACTTTATCTAATGTAAATTGTCTAAATAATAGAGATATTTCATTAATTTTAAGTATAACACGGGCAGCCACAAGAGATTTGATTTAAATGTGTTAAATAATTATTATATTTTTATTAGTTCAATATATGAATAAAATAATATATTTTTAAATATTTTAAAGGTATTTTTAAAGTTTAAGTTAATTTTGAGTATCTAAAAAAAAAACTCAAGACACTACTACAAAGCCATGTGTAGTCCAAATAAATCTTTTGTACTTATTAGCTAAAAAATGGGGTAGGGATGATCACGGACTTATGAAGGGTTTAGTAAGGCCATGTATAGTTGAAATAGATCTTTTGTACTTATTAGCTAAAAAAACGGAGGTGGGGATGCTCATCTTCTGGTCAGGGCAGCCGCCATCACTGAATTTTTTTTACAAAATTATTACAAAATTTTGTTATAGTTGAAATAGATCTTTTGTACTTATTAGCTGAAAAAACAGAGGTGGGGATGCTCATCTTCTAGTCAGGGCAGCCGCCATCACTGAATTTTTTTTTACAAAATTATTTCAAAATTTTGTTAAAATTTTGAAAATATTTTTATTTTTTGTGAAAATCTTAAAAATGCTCTCACTTAACTTCTGATAATATCCCACCATATATTATTACGGTTCAAGACCGTTCCCTCTCATACAATTTTCTAGATAATCTTAAAATATTAATATTAAATCAAATTAGCTTACTTAGAGCTATTCATGAAAAATAAAATAAAATCTCTTGTGCTCATCATTGAACCTCATAATCAAACTATTCTTTAATTTTTAGAATTAAAGTTAATCCTAAAGTTCGATTCGGTCCAATTTACCATTTTTAACTATTTCTTTTGCATCCTAATGGAAAATCAAACACACATTGTTATAAAAACATTGGACAAACGCATATGTACAAAGGATGACATCAAACATTTAAGCAAATGGCTAAGAAATAAAGTACAAACAATGGACAGTAGGACCATGCACTTCTAATGATTTTGGTATTTAAACATTGGAGATAGAATTCTTAAACAGGATAAAATTAAATGAAGTTACTTTTTCACATATAATAATTAAAACAATACAGAATAATTAGAAACATGACAAAATTGGTCTAAAGGAAACTTTTTCTATAGAATTTTACTATCTCTCTCTTATCCCAAACTTTTCATAAGCCAATTGTTCTATTGAACCCTTAAAGGGTGAGAACGACCCTTGAAAGCCTTTTGAAATCATTGCAATGTTGATGGGCGCCTTAAAGGAAGGGATAAGACTCAGCTCCAATTTTGTTCTTTTAATTAATTTAGTCCCTTACCCATTTCACCCGGTTTTAGAGCTTGAGCTCCTTTAGGACCTGTTTGGAAACATATTTTGTTTTTGTATTTTTATTTTAACTCTTTATATATATATATATATATATATATATATATTTGTTTTAAAGTATTTTAAATAGTAACTGAAAGCTTGTTTGGTAGCGTTAATTTGTTGCAAGATTTTTGAAAGGAAAAATATAAAAACATATTTGGTTAAAAAGCATTAAAAGTTTTACAAACTTAATGGTTTGCTTAAAAATGTTATTTTAAAAGTTTTTATATTGTTTATCGCTACCGTACCCATTGTTACAGTAATGAAATATGTAAATATACCAAATTAGTGTCTCGATTTTTTGCTACTATTCACGAAACGTTTCGAACTGTGCAAAATAAAATAAGTTTTACCAAACGCGTTTTTTGTCACTGTTCATTGCTACAATACCAAACAAAAACAAATAATACCAAAAACTAAGGGCCCGTTTGGCATTGTGTTTGTTATGGTTTGAGTGTTTTGGTTTTGTATTTTGGCCAATATCATGTTTAGGGTGGGCTAATGTGGTATTGAACAGTACCAAAAATGATAAGAAATTTAGGCCAAAACCCAGATCACCGAATTGGTGATATTGGGTATTGTTGACACTATAACAGCCATATCAAGGCCCAAAACCAAAACATATACTTACACCAAATACTGAAGCGGATATATCAGGTATAAAAGCATAATTTTGTAACCCTAGCCTCATTTCTGGCCTCTCATTTCTTGCTCTTCACGCAGCTCCTATAAAGAGATTCGAAGGGCAATTTTGATGAAACCTTTGTTCGTGGTCTACCAACCACGAATCGAACATTTTCTTCTTGTTTTTCCTTTAGTGTGTGTTTGTTCTTTCAGCTTTTTTTAGGTGATTGAAACGCGAAGAGAGAGAAATCCTAATTTGCGGTTGCTACACCATGGATTGAACGTTTTCACTGCAAAACCATTCCTTTTCCCCTCGTTTGTATATGTTTTCTGACCTTCTGTGACATGATTAAAAGGAGATTCGACGAAACCTAGAGGTCGCTTCTGCTTCATCTCATTTTTCTCTGATTTGCAACTTGTTTGAGGCGATTGAAAGAGTGAAGGAACCCTAGTTCTTCGTTCGCGACTTCGGATCCAAGTTTTGGGTTGCAAAAAGTTTGCAAGGTATGGTTTCTTTCTTCTTGTTGTTCTTTTAGATTACTTTGCAACGTTAAGATTTAAGTATTGTTATTGTTCTTTCAAAATTTGAGTGAAGGAATCCTAGTTCTTCGTTCCCTACGTCTGTGATACGGGTCTCTGTTTCATTTTGATGTATATTTCACAAAATTTCTGAGTTTGGTTTCATTACTTCTGTGATATAAATCTCTAATTTTGTTTTGATGTATAGTCCACAAAATTCTTAGTTTGGTTTCATTACTCCTGTGATACGGGTCTATGATTTAGGTTTCATGTATAGTTCACAAAATTTCTTAGTTCGGATTAATTACTTCTGTGATAAGGGTCTCTAATTTCTTTTTGATGTATAGTTCACAAAAATTCTTAGTTCGGTTTCATTACTTCTGCGATGCTTGTCTATGATTTTGGTTTCATGTCTTGGTTTTTAAAAACATTTTGAGGGCTTACAAGACAGTAACTATACAAGAATTGTTTGAGTTGTTGTGTCCATTTCCTTTTTAATTTTCGATGTGGGTCTATTGTTCATTACAGTGTGATTTTTAAACATCTCTTTACTGTAACTGCAATATTGAAATGATTTCAGTTTCATCTCTTAAAAAATTTCTACATTTGTTGCCTACGATTTCGGTTTCATATCTTGGTTGATACGAGTCTGTTGTTCATTGTACTGATTTTTGAACATCTCTATATTGTGACTGCAACATGGAAAAGATTCCGGTTTCATGTCTTAAAAAATTTCTGCATTGGTTGTTTATGATTTCGGTTTCATGTCTTGCTTGATGCGGGTCTGCTGTTTATTACACAATATGATTGCCTTCTACTGTTCATTACCGACTCAGTACATTAATTTTCTTCAAAAATATTAGAATAACTGTGAATTTTAAAGGACTTGGATTATCTAGCTTCATTCATGGTTGTGGAAATTAATAATACATTATGCGTATAAATGAACTAAATTACATTATGTCTGTTTTAGTAATATTTCATATTATTGTCTGTCTTTTAATTGTGGTATCACTTTGATGTGTTGTTATTAAATTCAATTATAGTGGTACTACTTGGTTGGTTTCTATAGAAGCTGAAGTGTAGACACTGTTGGAAATGGGGCACAAAAAACAGAAACTTTGGATAAAATTTGGAGTAGGTTCTGCTAAGAATTTTTTGCAGATCTATAGACGAACGCGTTCCTTTTCGCAAGGAGATGAACGTGGTATATTTACTTTTTCAAATTTGTTTCCCGGTGAATGAGAAATTAACTCCAAGATAAGGTGTTTGATAAGCTTAAATGGGTATGCAAAATATGAGAAGTGTTTCACTCACATTGAAAATATGATGAAACCAATTAGAGTTTAAATAAGCCAAGTTTGGGATTTGGTTTTGGGCCCAAGGGCACCCGAGTTTTTAAGAGGGGGACGACCTAGGTAAGCTTGAGTCCAAACCATTTACCACACACGCACGCACCCGGGTAAGATTAATTTTTTTATTAAACAGATTTTGAATTGGGTATGTGTTTTTTAGGCCACCTGAAAAAGCACCTTGTTGCCTATAAATACCCCCCTTGGGGTCATTTGCAACTCACTCCAAATTCAGAATTCTTCTTATCTAATTTGAATTTTCTATTTCTTCTCTCCTTTTACATACATAACAATAGTGTGAGTTTGAGTTCGGTCTATAGGAGAGAGTACTACACTGAGTCTGTTCGCCCATTTCTTCGGTTTGCAGTGCTGCTACCAAATAAAGAAAGGTCGTTATATCTTGGGAGATAGACGCCACTAAGTCCGTTAGTGCCACAGGGGGCGAATCTGTCTTAAAGACATAAAATCAAATTCTAGCCTCGACCTATTATCAGGTTCTTTTATTTTTATATAGTTATATTTTATTATAATATAACTATATTTTATTAAAAAATTATATAAATAGATTATTATTATTTTATTAGAAAAGTGCGTATTTAAACCCCTTAATCTTGAATGTTTTAGGACATTATTCTATCATATTTTCCCGTTTTAGTACTAATTTATGTTTTTGTGTATTTTTAGGTCAATAAGGTTCAAACGGGCTAATTTCGGTCCATTAAGGCCTTTTTGGAGTCAAACTAAGTCTTGGTGAGAAGTTGGAGCAAAAGGAGGCTGATGCTGAAAATTGCCAAGTTGGATCGATTGAAGCTAAGTTGGATCGATCGAACCCTGATCGATCACACCATACCTCTGATCGATCACACCATACCTTTGATCGATCACAGTGTTGGTTGGATCGATTGAACTATTCGTAGAAGTTATAAAAAAATAGATCTAAAGCTCATTTCAAACAAAACTCGAGTTGTACATGAAAGGGGAGATCCTAGGGCCGAGTTCTCACATTTTTGGGCTCTAAAAGCCTTATATATAAGAGGGATTGAACCATTTTTGTGGGGAGATTCATATTTTTACATTGTAATTTCTATATTTTCATTATTTTCTCTCTCTAGAAAGTTAAAGATTAGGGTTAGAAAAAAAGAGGGAAGTGGAGGCACATCTCAAGAATACATCTGCAGATTTACATACTCTCTCTCTTTAGAGCTTCGAAGAAGAAGAAGAAGATGGAGCCATGTTTGGAGCTTTCCATTGAGGGTTTCATGACCATATCAACCTCCTCCATGATTGGCTAGATCTACACTTAGGGCTTAGATGAGCCCTAGGTCTTGTGTAATCTAAACCCTTGTATTTCCATTTTTGGGGATTTATATATATATATATATATATATATTGTTGTGATTAGTGGTTAGCATTGTGATTGTTGATTCAATTCTTTCTAATCATTCTCTATTTTAATTACATATTGTCTTATGTGTGATTATTTGGGAATTGATCTCTACACTAGATTCTCTATGTTGGTTGCATGTCTATGTGAGATTAATTAAGGATTTAGTGATGGCTCAGCATGGTTTTCATTGAATGGGTTTGTAAATTAATTTGATAGATTATGCTTACACTTGATAGTCTATTCTACAATTTAATTCATACTTGTAGGTAAGTAGACAATCTTGGCTTGGTTTGATACTCCACACTTATTATTGCAAATTCCATGATTCTCTAGATTGATGTGTGCTCTCATTAGACCCATTTGTTAACTAATTGATGGATTATGCCTTTGTCTTGGTGGGTTGTTCTACACTTAGTTTACTTGTTGGTTAGGTAGACAATTCACTCTTGCATTAGATAGTTTACACTTTTACATGCAAATTGTGTTTATGTTTGTGAACACATCTTGATTGCAACAATGTATTCCCCATTAATGGAAAACAAGTGGTTAATTACATGAGCTTATTGGTGATTCCAACATCCTAAGACCTCTCTTCATATCTCTTAAATTCCTATCTCTCATTAGTTTACTTTAATTGCATTTTAATTTAATTTTTTTCTAGAGTAATCAACCAACCCAACCCTTCTTTGCAATCTTTTGATAAGCTAGAGTTGAAATTAAATTCTAACACGTATAACCCATGCAAATGATCCCTACTTGCTATACTTCATTAGTTGTAGTAGTGGTTTTTATAAATGTATATTTGACTAGAAAGGCTTCCGAAATCACATTCATATTTTGACCTTGCGAAGCGACTTCTTGCATTAAAAAGTCGGTTTCCTAAACATTTAGAAAGGGGCTCGTCAAATTTTGACGCCGTTGCCGGGGAAACTATTTTGTTAGAATTAAAGTAGACAATAGTATTATTTGATTGCTTCTATTTTTATTTTATTTTCCATGTATATTCATTTCTCATTCTTAATATTATTTATTCAATTAGGTACTTGACTACAAGGAAGGAAAACATTGGATCTTAAAGTAATCATTGGAGCTTAAAGCTAACATTGGAATTTGAAGTTGCCTAAGGACATTTGTGAGCATTTCTTGAACATCTCGTAGTTTAATTGTTTTACTTCTTTGCATGCTTGTGATAGCCCTTGTTGAGGCTAATTTTATTGCTTAAATCTTTGTCCAAGCATCGGCCCTTGTGGAGACCATTATTTGTTGCATTTGGATTTTGAATATAGATGGAGCCATTGTTTGATCCAAGTTTGGAGAAAAATTACTTCCCCTCACCTTATGTCCCTCCACCATATTTTAATCCTTATGAGGTTGAGTCCAATTCATTTCAACATGCATCATCTTATTATGGACTTGACTATTCTCATTATCCTCCTTGTGACTATTACCATCCTCCACCATTTTATAAAGAACCACCTCCATCACCTTATTCACCCAAGTTTCAAGAAAAAGTGTTAGCTCTACTTGATTGGCTTAATTAACAAACCCAACTTATTCTTTCACATTCTCAAATCTTAGCCAAGCTTAAAGCTCAAGTTGAGCAAATTGCTAGTACTCTTTCTCCTCAAGAGGAGGAGGAAGAGATAAATAAAAAAAATGGTAAGAACTTCAATTTATATAGATGAGAATGATGAGAGTGAAGAGGAAAAAGTAGCAAGTGAGCAAATTGAGGAATTAATGAGTCCACCAATGGCTAATCTAATAGAGTACAACATGACTTATAAGGATTTTTCTTATTTTGATCATGATTTGATTCCGGCCTTTGATACTCTAGAGAGTGAGGAGATGGTGACCACTGTAGAGGTAGGAGAGGAAGATGAGGAACTTGTTGAAGAGAGCATTCCTTCTATTATCTCCAAAGACCCTCTTGAGACATGCCTTTTTGAAATGCATAAAAATTATGGTTTTGACCTTGAAAGTTCTAAAAATGAAGTGAACTCTTTAATGGACTCCTTATCTAACTTGGAAAGTGAGGAGATGGTGATCATTGAGGAAGAGAAAGGGGATGAAGAGAGTGCAATTCCTAGTAATCCAATTGAGTCCTTGAAAGACTTTGCTTTGCCAAGTGCAATGCCACCCATTATTGATATCATTTTCAAGACCGTGGATGAAAGGAAACAAATTGCATCTTTCATAATTTCTTTTCAAGTTATTCTTTTAGGAGGTGTTTACATAGTTGTGAGAGAGGATCTACTTGGGAAAATTGACAAGAGGGTCAATGAGGATGCTTCATATCCAGTTTTTGACTCTTTTTATTAGTGGGTTGACCAAACGTCTTCCTAAAGACGTTAAACACTAGTATTCGTAGTGTTTCAAAACTCTATTCCTCCCTTATTTCTTTTTATTTTTTGTTCTTGTGTATATTCTTCCATCCATTTTTCAATCTCTATTTTTGTTACCATCATTGAGGCTTAGCATAGGATTTTCTGCACTTTCAGCTCAAAATTAGGCATTTGGTGCCAGTTCGATCGATCACAAGTGCACCCTCAATTGATCGAACTGTTCTGCAGTCAATTCTCTGCAGATTTCAGGTCTCTGTCCATCGTGCGAACTTATTATTCGATCGTTCCAAATGCACTTCGATCGATCCAATTTTCCCTATGATCGATCTCATTTCCATACTTAGAAAATTTTTCAAAGTTCTGCAAATTTCATGCCTCTGTCCTATCATGCCAGCATAGAGATCGATCATGGTTCGATTGATTCAAGTAAGGATCGATCACAGCTTTGCCCCTTTGACTTTTTGACTTTTTCCTCTTTCTATTTTTATTTTATTTTATTTTTTATATTTTTTTTACTTTTGTCATTTTCTTTTATTTTATTTAGTTACTTTTCTCTTGTGATTAAAAAAAAAATAAAAAATAATAATAATAATAATAAAATAAAAATAAAAAAAGAGACGATTTTTCAAAGTAGTATTCCGTCTTGTTAGAGACGTTAAACTTAGCACCCACATGACACATTGTGTTTTTTATCTCTTGTATCATACATGTTCATTTTTTTTTTTATTTTTTTTTTTTTTTATTTTCTTTCATTTTGTTTCATTGTACATACTTTCATAAAAAAAAAAAAATTAAAAAATATAAAAATTTCACCAGGGTGCCCTTATGTGTAGTCTTGCTACTTTTATATTTTCTATTAGGCTTGATCTTATATCTCCCTTTCATCTTGTATTATATTGCCTTAGAATGCATGATTTGATTATTCTTATCCCATTTGATATTTGATGTGAGTTTGCTAGTGTAGTTATTTAAATAGGTTGTTGATTTCAAGTTTGGAGGAGACCATTTTCATATTGGATCATTGCCGGGCTTCATGCATTGCCACCACGGTATATTCTTTCCGTTTTTTCCATTATTCTCATTGCACATTGAGGACAATGTGCGGTTTAAGTTTGGGGGTGAGGTGTCTTTGTTGCATTCTACTTAAGTTTGAGATTTAAATGCATGATTAAGATTTGAGATCCATGTTAGCTGTGATTTTGATCTTTTGAGGACTATATTGCTTAAAATTTAAAATTGCTTGACTTGAGAGTCCAATACTCCTTGTATGCCTTGTGGATGCCATGTGGGAGTAAATTTTTTCAAAAGATTGATATCTTGGTTGCATTTGTTGTCCACATCATCTTGATCTTGTGATTGTTTTGAGATTCACTTTAGGATTCTCTACTCGCACTTGCGCACACTAGCATTCATTTGTGGGGTACATGCTTTGTTGACCATTGATTTGATTACATCCCAATTGAGCTAGTAGTGCATTGAAAGCTTTCATTTTGACAAAGGTGGATAAAAAACCATTTTCATTAGGTAGCCGGGGTTCTAGCCTTATCAAGCACTGAATTTCTCATGCCGAAAGGTGTTAGGCCCAAACTCTAGGTTAAAAAATAAAAATAAAAAAAGAAGAAGAAGAAAAAAAAAAAAAAAAAAGTGAGGACTTTTCCCAAAAGGTGAGAAGTGGGAAATGATTAGATGGAGGTTGTTTTGATTTATAATCTAGTTGTTTGAGCTTGTAAGTCCTTAGGGGTGTTTCAATACCTAAAGCCTTAAAGCTGTTTGGTTTAGGAGTTATTGTCCCAACGCTCGATCTCATGGATCGGTAAAAAGCTTAATAGATCAACACATTGCATTATACTTCCATTTTTTATCCTTAGGGATAGAAAAAAAAAGATCAAGTGGAAAGAATAAGCGCACCTAGTTGAATAAAGCTTTAATAAAAGGTCCATTCTTTGTCTTCATGATCGGTACTAGATTTGTGTGCTAGTTTGAGGCTGGATGTGATAATTTCTTTAGTTGGCTTAGATAACAACATATATGATGCCAGTTCACTTAAAAAGGATTCTAGAGTTGTTTTGATTTGCATGATCATTGTCTTGATGTGTGGAAGACCATTCTTGCTTGCTTGATATTGAAATTTTGGGTGACTGCTTGGACATGGTTGAAAAATTGCATACTTGAGGTAGTTTTCTCCCAATACTTGTTTGGAATATTGGTGCCTCTTTAGTGAGAATGAGCTTAATGGTTATGTGTATCATTTCTGGAAACCCTCACGAAACTTCACTCGTCCACTATGGGTAACCTAGGGGTTTAAAAAGCTTGTTGCATGCGCTAAATGTAATCGTGTTCCCTACGAAAGTGGTGTTATCCATTTATTACTTTCTAGTTCATAGTTGTATAGTTGTTCATTTCTTTATTTTCTTCGTAGTTCATTGCTAGGGACTAGCAATATTTAAAATTAGGGGTGTGATAAGTGCTGAAAAGTGCGCATTTAAATCCCTTAATCTTGAATGTTCTAGGACTTTATTCTATCTTATTTTTCCGTTTTAGTACTAATTTATGTTTTTGTCTATTTTTAGGTCAATAAGGTTTAAACGGGATAATTTCGGTCCTTTAAGGACTTTTTGGAGTCAAATTTAGTCTTGGTGAGAAGTTAGAGGAAAAGGAGGCCGATGTTGAAAACTGCCAAGTTGGATTAATCGAACCCTGATCGATCACACCATACGTCTAATCGATCACACTATTGGTTGGATCGATCGAACTATTCGTAAAAGTTATAAAAAAGTTGATCTAAAGCTCATTTTGAACAAAACTTGGGTTGTGCTTGAAAGGGGAGATCCTATGGCTGAGTTCTCACATTTTTGGGCTCTAAAATCCTTGTATATAAGAGGGATTAAACCATTTTTGTGGGGAGATTCTTATTTTTACATTGTAATTTCATATTTTCATTAGTTTCTCTCTCTAGAAAGTTAGAGATTAGGGTTAGAAGAAAAGAGGGAAGTGGAGGCACATCTCAAGAATACATCCCTAAATCAACATACTCTCTCTCTCTAGAGCTTCAAAGAAGAAGAAGAAAAAGAAGAAGATGGAAACATGTTTGGAGCTTGCCCATGAGGGTTTCATGACCACATCCACCTCCTTCATGATTGGCTAGATCTACACTTAGGGCTTGGATGAGCCCTGAGTCTTGTGTAATCTAAACCCTTGTATTTCTATTTTTAGGAATTTATATATATATTGTAGTGATTAGTGGTTAGCCATGTGATTGTTGATTCAATTCTTCCTAATGATTCTCTATTTTAATTACATGTTGTCTTATATGTGATTATTTGGGAATTGATCTCTACACTAGATTCTCTATGTTCGTTGTGTTGCCCAAGTATTGACTCTAGAGGGGGGGGGGGGGGGTGAATAGAGTCAATGGCCAATTTTTGTAATTTATAGAAATACAATTTCTAATCAACAATTTAGCTAATTATGCAATAGTTAAGATATGAAATCAAGATATCAAGTAAACAATTTATAGCACAATTGTAAAAAAGATAAGGGAAGAGAAATTGCAAACGATGACTCGACGATTTTAGCGAGGTTCGGAAACTCCTACTCCTCGGCTCAAGACCCCTCTTGAGACTTTCCAATCCACTATAGCTTCTCCTTATCGGTGGAGAACAAACATTTACATAAAGCAACTCCTTGCTTCACCTTGCTAAGAGAACAACCTTCCCTTAATCTTCCTTTGGGTCACACCAACCCAGTGGGTCAAACCAACCCTTACAATAGATAGTAACAAGAACAATGAAGTACAAGAAATCTCTCAAAGATATATGTACAAAATTTAGCTCACAACTAGAGTATTGATGAATATAAGTGAATCTTAAACTGTATGAATGAAATGAATGAGAGAAGATGAAATATGTGAATAATATAAGATCTTATGAATTCAATAGAATCTCTCAAGTGTATAATAGAGCAAAAACTCTATGAAGATTAAAACAAGAGCGAAAACCCTTTTAATCATTACTAGAATCTCTTAAGATAGAATAAGAGTGATTGAGAGAGATGAAGAGTAGATTTGAGAATAAAAGCTCTCTTTAATGCAATATAAAGTCTTTCAAATGATGTCTCTTGATTATTTAGACATTCCCCACTCTATTTATAGAGTTTGCAAGCTCAATATAGCTATTAGGAGTTGAATGCACAAGGGTCAAGGAGAAAAGAGCAGTTGTAGTTTGAAATCTGCAGATTCAACAGGAACCAGTTGACGTATGGCATAAACCGATCGACGTCTTTGCATGAACCGGTTGATGTATGCTTCAAACCAGTCGACGTATTCTTTTATGAACCGGTTGATGTATGCTTAATCCAGTTGACGTGAAAGTGCCTTTTCTTAAAATTTGCTACTGCCTAGATACCGGTCGACGTGTGTATCAAACCAGTCGACGTATAACTTGGTGCATTGACAGTTTTGACAGATGACAGCTTATGCATAGGACTTTCAGTATAGGACATCTGCACACAGCTTATTTCCATTGAAAACATTTAAGTAAATGGACATATAAATACTGTAAAGACAAGTAAATGGACATATAAATATTGTAAAGACATTTACTTGTCTTTACAGTATTTATATGTCCATTTACTTGTCTTTACAGTATTTATATGTCAATTTACTTTAAGTTTACAATGTAAATAAGGAAATACCCCTCATTTGGATTCAATAAAAAATACTAGAAAATTGAAATCCAACTAAATCAAAATGTAGAAATTCAGTTTTAGTACAAATTTGGATTTCTAACAGTTTTAGTAAAAATGAATCCTTATGTAGACCAATGTAGACTTGGTCAAAAATTCTGATAAAATTAGTTTAGGCTAGTTAAAGTATAAAGAGTTATTACCGGAAAAAATTATTTTGAAATAATCATTATTTCAAAAATTCATTTTTCACACTTAGCCAAAAACACAGTTTTTCATGACGTGCATTCTAGGGTCCTAATGTCCGTTACCAACTTATGGTAATGAAGGCTTCATATGCCTTAATTGTTGACCAATATGAATTATATGATTTTTTTTTTTTCCTAAATGGAGAAAATTTAATAAATAAAACAATAAAGTACAGAAATACAAGCGAAGGCATCCCCTCACTCAAAATACAAAAGAATTTCTAAGGAAGTGTAGACAATCCTACAACAACCCCAAAATCCTAAAAACATAAAAAGTATTGTAAACAAATACCAGCAATATCAAAAACATCCCAAACAATGCATTTTAATAGGATGGAAGGAGACCTAGATACATCGTTATGAAGTCTACCATTCTTTTCATTTCATACGTAATACAATGTAGCTGAAAAAAGTATCTTGTGAACTTTATTTCTGCTAGATTTACTTCGAAATTGTTGCTCCAAATCTGCAGCAAAAGAACTGAGCTCACTTTTCCGAACCCTCCAATGGAACATACCAGCCAAACCACACCAAACCTCCCAAGAATAAACACAATTCACAAACATGTGATCAACATGTTCGTCATAATTGCAACACAGACAGCATCTAGAAGCTAGAGAGATACCTCGTCGCTAAAATGAAATGAATTATATGATTGATGTGCATGGTCTTAACATTTCTAGCACAAGTGATAGTTCTTTCAAAGCTTATGCAAGCTTGAACTAACTCACTCTTTAGCAATAACTTCATGTGCAATTATATATAAATGAAGTGCATAGTTTATTGTTAATAGGAACATATGAATGATGATATGATATGCATGGTCTTATAGAGATGAGCTTCAAATAGATTCATAAATACTTTGACATTGAATCCTAAACACTCACCATCCTATCTACCCCTTTCTTCATTATTTGTCCGTGATCATTTAGACTTTCAGGTAGACTTGCTTTCTTCCTTTTTTTGAGTTGCTTTCTTGCTCATTGTAGTTCAAGCAATCTTTGGATGGACTTTGCATTTGGTTCCTTACAACTTCATGTTCCTTTTGTCTCCTTTGCTTTCCATAGATGTGATCTTGAGTAATGGAATACTTGGAATTGACTTTATGATCTTCATTGAAGTCATCTTTTGAATGTAAATAATATATAACACTCAATGTAAACATTAGTCCTTAAACACCATTAATGGTTTGTTATCATCAAAACCTCTAGATTGTCCTAGGATGAAATCATTAAGGTCAACAGGTTGCATGTCTTTGTGTGATTAATTAAGGATTTAGTGATGGCTAAGCATGATTTTCATTAAATGGGTCTGTAAATTAATTTGATGGATTATGCTTACACTTGATGGGTTATTCTATAATTTAATTCATACTTGTAGGTAGGTAGACAATCTTTGCTTGGTTTGATACTCCACACTTATTATTGCAAATTCCATGATTCTCTAGATTGATATGTGCTCTCATTAGACCCATTTGTTAACTAATTGATGGATTATGCCTTTGTCTTGGTGGGTTGTTATACACTTAGTTTACTTGTTGGTTAGGTAGATAATTCACTCTTGCATTAGATAGTTCACACTTTTACATGCAAATTGTGTTTATGTTTGTGGCCACATCTTGATTGCAACAATGTATTCCCCATTAATGGAAAGCAAGTGGTTAATTAATAAGTTTAGTGGTGATTCCAACACCCTAAGACCTCTCTTCATATCTCTTAAATCCCTATCTCTCATTAGTTTACTTAAACTGCATTTTAATTTAATTGTTTTCTAGAGTAATCAACCAACCTAACCCTTCTTTGCAATATTTTGATACGTTAGAGTCAAAATTAAATTCCAACACGTATAATCTCTACGGACGATCCCTACTCGCTATGCGTCATTAGTTGTAGTAGTGGTTTTTATAAATGTAAATTTGACTAGAAAGGCTTCCAAAACCACATTCATATTTTGACCTTGCGAAGCAACCTCTCGCATTAAAATGTTAGTTTTCTAAACACTTAGAAAGTGGTTTGTCAATATATATATATACGCACATTATATTTTTACATTATAATTAAATAATAATACTATAGTATATATTAGACCAAGAGGAGGGGGGGTGAATTGGTCAACTTAAACTTTTATTCAATGAAAGCAAATCCAAACAAAGATGAATCAAACACATAATATAAGGTTTACAAGGAAAACCTTCTTAATAGGGAAAAACCTAGGTTCTTGACCTCAGCCAATAAATCAACCACTAGTTGTATGTATCTTTTTACACACTCAGCTATCTCACTCCCTGCACACACCCTTGCACAAAATTAGACACTAGTTTTCATAACCAATACACACACACTAGCTCACCAATGTGCACACGTGCACTCCCCCTGTCTTAAGCAACCTTACTTGGACCCAAAGCTCTTGATAGCTTAATCAACAATGGGATGAGGTATCAAAGCCTCACTACCACTTACAATAAGGTGTCAATACACTAAGTATAATGAACTTGAGCTTCAATACAAAATAAGAATGCAATACACAGCCTTAAGTAAGTCAAAGTGAAACCCTAACTTGCTTTTTTCTGCAATCAATTGAATACACCTTCCAAAGCACAATGCAGCTTCAACTGAAGTACACATTGGGTTCTCACAACCTTGTCTCAGCCCAATAGACTTGCTCAAAGCAGTAATGAACAGTGAATAACAAGCACACAACAGTTTTCTTCAAATAAGGCTTCAAATCCTAAACAATGGTATTTTAGTCAAATTACGCTGTAGCTTTAACATTAACTATTCTTCAGTATCCACAGCCTTATAATCATAATAGTCACTTGCTCAACAGGTTACAACAACAATTAAAGCAAGGAAAAGCAAATTCAGTTCCCAATAGGCTTGAACAATAATAAACCCTAAACTTCAGCTCTCAAGGGCAATTCTATCATAACACCTGAACCTTGAGCAACTGTAGGTTCTCACAGCTTCATATGATCATTAGAAACTTGCACAAATAATGTTATCAAGTAGCAGGGCAAGTTTAGTACACTTTTAGCATAAAAACAGAAACAAAGAAGCTCAATACAGGTTTAGTTTTAGTGCTACTGTGATGTCTCTGAATTGAGGGTATAAATGGTATTCTGCAAGGTCTTAGGGTTGGAAAATATTCTCATATACTTGGTTTAACTTCTCACACAAGCTTAGAGGTCAAACACATCATTATACAATTCAATTTCAGCCTCAAAATCAATTATAAATCAGTTTATGCAGAAACACTGCACGCAGGGACTAAACTGTAAAATCACAGCTGCACAGCCTTACACTCAAACCCCTTAGTCATATTTC